CTAAAATTCTTATTGATCCATATGAAAAAAATCTGGGCCATATATCTATTTCTTAATTTTTGTTTTTTTCTCATCCATTATATGTCCCAAGGGATTATTCCAAGTACTTTCAGTAGGAAGTCTACTTTAGGGCAATATGCAGATGAAATATCTTAAGGAATAAGTGAAATATGCAGTCATGTAATTAAGAGTCAATTAGGACTTGCGTGTGAATTAGTGATTACGTTAAGATGTTATATTCATGGAATTATCATTTATAGTTGAGTAAGGGTAGATTTAATATGGCAGTTATTGTTAACTTACGTTCGTATTTCATGATTTTAGAGCAATTTTCATTTGGGTGTCAGAAGTAACCCCAGATTGCTTTGAATTTTTAACTTTGCTTTCTGATTGGTCCAGAAATTTCTTGCCTTCCTCTCAATCAATTAGATGCAAAACTAAAAAACAATCGCGACTTGGTCATGTGCGTTTTCGCGCGCTTCAAGCTGTTTGCTTGTTTCCAGTTTGATTTCTCATTGGCTAATGATAACATAATCCTTTGTTCTGATTGGTCCCTGGGATTACTTCGGTTTGAGTTTCTTGACACTCGTTTGAAATTTTGCCCGAAGGCGTACTGTTATCGAGCAGTATCTAACTGTTCATCTTGCCTTGTTCTTCAAACATTTTATTATAATAGCGCAGGCGTTACAAGGAACCTAAGAATTTCCAACTTGACCTCAGTAAAATCTTTAGAGCTATTTAAAAGGAGTTTAATTCGATTACTGTCATGTTTTTCAAGCAGACACAGATTCTTGCTGAAAAGCACCCTGCCACCAATTCAAAAACAATGAGTTCGAAAAGGGGAATTCATCCCTATAAGACGAACTTGGTTTGATAGCGTGTTTGTAGCGTGTTGATACATATTCAAATATATTTGTAATTTGATTATTTTATCTATTTTTTGGCATTTTAGTTTCAAATGCCGTATTTATAGAGATCTAGTTGTAAAGCTAAAGGAAAAATATTCTAAAGGTGGAGTTTTTATGTATCAAGTGTGAACTTAATTTAAATAAACGTATGGAAGACGACTATGTGTATGCGCCTGAGTCTGTTTTAGCCAGAGTAATTTCCAGTGAAGTGTCGGAAAAATGTTGTAATTGGTTCAGAAACGCTCGCGCCATTTTCCCAACCAATCAGAAGCGTGGAACCTGTCACGTGCATCAAGTTGGCTTCGCGTCGTGGTTTCCTACGCTTATCTCGTGTTTTCCCAACCTCCCGTGTGTTTACATCAGGCTATGTAAACACGGAAACCATTTTACATTTCTTCATTAGAATACCTTTCACACGGCATCATGGGGTCTTTTGCAATTGCGATATTTGGAGATACTCACGCAGCAATAAACCTAAACACGCTGAGTAAGATCTCGAGTGTAAAAGTCGGCAAATCAAGAAGCCTGCATTCCTTACAATTTCTGAGAAGTTCGACGCATTATTAGCAGTTTAAATGGGGCAGCAGCTTAGAGTGATCACAAAGTTATTCTCCCATTACACCCCAACATATGAGGGCATATTCTCCACACTGTTCTGAGCACATATCCTAAAGTAGTTACAAGGAGTATTTGTCTGACAATCAAGAGCTTCCTGACTTCACGATTATTTGCAATATTCTCATGACCCTAGTGTTATATTAAAGGCTAATACTGTTGCGAGAAATTAGATGCTTGTCACCCTTGGGGGTTGGGTGTTAGCTGCAGTGCCAAATAATATTCTTTTCTTTATGCATTTGAACAAATGGACACTACTGTCTAAAATCATGTACTAGTGTCTACAATCGGAAACCAGTGTCTAAAATCAGACACCATTGTTAAAAATCACTTTCTAAAATCGGACTCTAGTGTCTGAAATCGGACACTGATGTCTGAAATCGGACACTAGTGTCTGAAATCGGGTTTTAGTGTTTAAAATCTGAAATCGGACAGTAGTGTTTGAAGTCGAACATTAGTGTTAGTGTTGGACATAATGTCTAAAATTGAACACTTGTGTTCACAATCTAACCCTAGTGTCATACTATACATTTCCTGAGGTGCTGACAGAGAGAATTTGTCTGGCAATCAAGAGCTTCTAGAGTTAGCGATAATTTCCGTCCGATAACCTTAATGTGACTTTGCCTGATTTAGGGGGGTGAGGAGGAATTAGATGCTTGTCGATCTTAGAGTTTGAAGAGCCCTAACTGCCTTTGCGTAATCCACTACGAGTCGGCTTGCATCGGAGAGCCTTAAAATATTAAAAAATAATAACCATTGCTTGGAGGGACAACTCCTTGGAGAGAACAAATGCACAAAATGCATGTAAATTATTCAGTGGATTGATTTCACACGCGTAGTTTTAGGCAATTTTAGAAATTGTAATTACATGAATGGGTTGCTGAAGGTGTGTGATAACTGAGTAATTTCACAGATATAGTCGCATCTTGGACAACACCGGGCAGAAATTTGTGGTGTGGCTGTAGTAAAACTCTTCCTTTTTCATTATTTTGTTTTTCACCTTTTTTATACCAATTTAACACCGCGGTATCTCCTTGGTAGCACTCGTTCTCCGAAATAATATTTTTTAAAATTCGTATCTTCAAAGTGCCGTTTTATATCGACCAGGACCAGGATGGCCGAGTGGTTAAGGCGTTGGACTTAAGATCCAATGGACGAATTGTCCGCGTGGGTTCGAACCCCACTCCTGGTAAGTCTTTTTTTTTCTTCTTAATTTCTTAGCATAATTTAACGGTTTAAGTAGGAAGGAAACTCTATATTTAAACATCTTGCAAAGTTATATGACAGCCGAGAAAATCTGGTTTTTTTTTCTAATTTCGGAAAAAAAATGATAGTACCGTATTGACGGCATGAGTAGCAGTATATCATACTGCCTCCTCATGTAAGAGTCTGCCTCCCTCACCTTATTCGTAGAAGTGTCTGACGGATAAGATGCATTAATATGAAATGTTCATTTTTTGCAATGTGAGTCATCTACTTCTGAAAAATTATATACTTAGACCAAGAACGAAGGACATGGAATGGGAAACCGGAACGCCGAAAGTACAGCGGTAATTCTCATAAAAATTCAAAATGGCGGACGCCAACACGAAAATGGAATGTAAGCAGTTTTAGAAACATTCTTTTCAGAGGGGTCTATTTTCACAAAACAGATCCTAATCGTTCCCAAGGCATAAACGATTTCTGAGCGCCTTACTGAATTCAGTCATATCTGTTTCATCTTCTTGATCTATTATTTGTTCAATTGTATTCCAGAACGCGAACAAGGCACAGAATTATTGATTTTCGAAAATGACCCATTTTTAACCCTCTGTTGTTACCGTTGCACCCAGTTGAATAGAATCCTATCTGTTTCGTTATCTCCATCGATAATTTGTTCTAAGCATTAATTGACCTTCGAAATCTATCATTTCAACCTTCTGGAATTTTTTTTTTTTACCCAGTTGACGTCACAAGTATAATTTGGTCATTTCTCCTTTCCATTTTTCACTGAAGATATTCATTACCTTCTGAAATACACTTAAGCGGAATCATGAGTACATATATTTACACAGCTCAGTTTTTTGAAAGCCGAGTAAGGAAAAATGTCTTAGCTTGTCTATCATGTTTTTTTGTCGCCTTTTATAGTGTGTGAGCGAGAGAAACCCATTGACCGAGGATTTAATCTATTTACCTCGTGCATTATCGTGGAAACGCATTTTAAAGATGAGTGCGTCATTTCTGTCAACTTTTGGCCTGAAAAGTGCATTCAAACGACTAAAAAATGTCATTAGCAACAAGAAAAGCTACGTGGAAATGTTGGAAGCCAATTAGTCTCGTAAATGCACGTAAATCCGGTAAAATCTACAGAAGTTACTGAACTTAACGACCTAAAAATTTTCTCTCAATTCGATTTTTTATTTTACTTTAGCAACTTGTATTTTCACTGAAAGTCCAGGGTAACGAGAGGAAGATAGGTTTCCTGCGATTTTTAGAGACACAATTAAATGAAAAAACCTAAAATTCTTATTGATCCATATGAAAAAAATCTGGGCCATATATCTATTTCTTAATTTTTGGTTTTTTCTCGTCCATTATATGTCCCAAGGGATTATTCCAAGTACTTTCAGTAGGAAGTCTACTTTAGGGCTCAGCTTTTGACAAAAAATGGAAATTAAATTCTTCACAGGAGACATCTGGTTGAGTACGTGAAAGTTTTTTTATTGTTAGCTGTAAGCCGGCTTGACTCCTTTCATAAAAATGAATCTTTAGTAACCATGAAACACAATTCTAAATTGAAGGTGGTTCTAAAGGTTTTTTTTTTTTCGGAACAAGGGCCCTTCTTTCAAAGGTCACAAAATTCATTTTATGGCGGCGGGTAGCAGAAAATTTTGTCCCTCTAATAGAGAAATCATAACGCTTTATTGAACTGTTTTGCTTTCAAATACGCGAACTATCGCTCGCTTTAGGAGCAATAAAACTCTGGCTCACAGGCCGAACAATAGCTAAGATTACACATCTACAGTAAGGCCAGTGCTCGCGTCGATTAATGGACTCCAGAACTAAATATTACTATAGATAGGCTCGAGATAGTGTGAATTATCACAACGATAATGGGAAACGTTGAACAAAAGGACTATTTGGCTTGATTTTAACGTCTATCCAGGTGGCTTCTTTTGATATCCTGATGTTAAATGCCATTCATATCTGTTATTTAGATTTCTATTGAAATCAGTTTTAAACGAAATGTTTTTTTTTTTTTGTTATCGCGGCAACCGAACAGATCATGAAAATTTAAAAACTTCACGGGCGAGAGCTGTAAAGTACCTGGAATGCTTTTTAGTAATGCAGCAAATGTCACGATCGAAAAGACCGGGTGAAAAAAAAAACACTTCTAAAGCAGATTAATGTGAAGAAACATGCGCGCATCAAAATTAACTCGTTGAGGCTGCAATCGTTCGACGATGTTCCTCTGAAACAAAGTCAGAAGCCTAAAAATCTGCCGTGCACAACATTATATGGACGAATATTCTGTGGACAACATGAACAACACAACACCTGTACAGTTCGAAGAAGAAAAAGTGTGTTTCAAGGTGGACATTTTCCCCTTGTTCGTGTTTGCTTTCGTGGTCAATTTCCTCGCCCTCATCGCTGTGTTCAAGGCAAAACCAAGAATTTCAACGCCAACCTCAGCCAAGCAAATTCACCTGCTCATCTGTTGTCTCGCTGTTTCGGACACTGCATCACTGGGTTTGCAATGTGTGATGCCTGTAGCTTCGTTCATAAACTGTGGCTGGTGGGGAGGTCGTATTACTTGCGGCATTTTTGGTTACGTCAACGCCATTTTCATTTTATGGTCAGCCTGGATCGTATCACTTTTAAGCTTTCAGAGATTTTTTGCGACTGCATTTCCATTCCAACATCAACGCAATTTCACGATGAAGAGAATTAAAACTGCCGTGGTCTTTATTTTCTTTATGCTTTGCTTTTTCTTCACGCCGCCATTTTTTGGCGTAGGTGCGTTTGTCTATTACGACACAGGCCAATTTTGCAGCTTGAGTTTGACACCAACTGGAAAATCAGACACGATTTTTCTTGGAATACTCGTCACGCAGGGTGTTACTTGCGTGTTTGCGGTCCTTGTTTTCAATATACACGTTGTAGAATCGTTAAAAACAAGGAGGACGCCATTTCACGGGAGCACTAGGCGCGCAATGGAGGACACAACAGCCACTTTCGTGTCATTGACAAAAGCTGTGGCCTTCGTGTTCTGTCTGTGCAATATCCCCCTTTTGGTAAGTAAAGTATCAAAAAAATCTGCATAATGCACTCTGTAGGTATCCTAAGTCGATATCGGACAATAGCCGATGAATTTGTTAGTCGATGGTCGACCGACAATCGACCGATAGTGATCCGATGCTTATCACACATCGAGAAGTCGCCGACAATATTTCGAGCGTCGGTCGACCATGCAGAAATTTATCAATACTATCGCAACAACGATTTCCCAAATTCTACACAGCCATTTAATTTCACTTTAAATAATTTAAAGGGCACACTTATAAGGAACTGATGTGAACGTTCTTTTCTCCCACAGATACGAATAGCGGTAGACTTATTTAAACAGACTTCTCATGAAGACCTCGGCTTGGAACACACCCTAACAATGGCCTTGATGTTCTTAAACACTTTGGCAAATCCCTTTATCTACGTCGCCTGCAGAAGACGCTACAGACGGAGCCTACTGAGACTTTTTTGTTTTGGTCAGCGGAAGGGCATAACTCGAGTGTACTTCTATGAGGGCACAGGGACATCAAAACCTGTCCACACTTTGAGATGTCAAGGAGAGACTACAGTTTTTTAACAAATAAAACTTAAGAACCCTCTCCTTCTTAAAAATAACAAGTCAGGGCAACGAGTGTTCATCTTTGAAGGCACAAGGACCCCAAAGTTTGTCTACACTTGAGATTTCATGGAAAGACTACTTTTTTATAACATTGAAAAAAAAAATAGATAACCCTCCACTCCTTAAAGTGACCGATAAGTTATTTCTCCCTGTGAAATTAATAAAATGTCAAACAGGGTGGTGACGAAACCAAAGAAAAATATTAACTTCAGGATATTCTGTGATTTTACGCAAAATTCTCCAAACTGACCCAAAATACGCGCGCGGAAGGTGGAAGTACTTCACACGCGCGGGACACATGCCTACCTCCTCCACACAGGAAGAAGCGGAAAAAAAAATGTTATGTAAAATTATTAGATAAAAATGAAAATTAAACTTACGCCTTTTATTTGACGCGGTGTAGTTTCATCTTATATCTTCGTCTTACAAAGAAATCTCATCGGATGCCCATTTCTCGCCGGGGAAGACCTTGTTGTCCTGGTCTCGTAACAAGATTTATGGGACAAGAGCAGCCATCTTTGAAAGGTGTGTGGATCAGAATTTTTAAAAAATTCAGACCAAAATTGGTATGCACTGTTCCTTATGCATTTTCCTTTTTTTTTTTAATTTATTTATTTTTTTTATCCTTTGATCAATCTTTGCTCTTAGGACTCCTGAGACAATGATGAATACGCCTGGTTCTAGAATACACGAGGAATAACAACGAACCCGATTGCCCTCGACGTAATTTACCCAAATGAGAGAATACCAGCCATCTATTCATTTTGGATTCCTTTCTCAGGGAATCAAAGCACCCTGTTCCTCCTTAACCCTTTTTGCGTTAAGTCAGAAAAAAGATTTCTGTACAATCACAAGCAAGATCTGGTGAGATTTCCATACAACACCAACCTATTCTAAAAAAAAAATCCTGGTAATATTTTCGCGCCATCCATACTAATTGTAAAACAAAGCGGTAGTCCTAGAGGCAAACTTTTCTTTTTTTCCATTGTTTCTTATTCGAAGAACTGTGTACTTAACGAAGTATTTAGCCGTGCGGAAATCTCGCGCAAATCCTTAATCCCATAGGCAATCTACCGTTTTCTTCCTCTTATTGTGTTAGCAAGAAGCCGTTCGCATAATGAAGAGTGGGGCTTTACGGAAATCTAGCCGCCAATTCTGACTGCATGGCGAATTAATTCAATCCTTTCACAGTTCAAGAATACTTTTTATAAAATAATACAAATAGTACGCGCGCTCTGATTGGCCATAAAACCATTTTACATGAGCGTATGTAAACACGGTTTTCGTTCCATTTTACATTTCTTCAATAAACAACAGAGTAGTTTTTGCAAGGCAGTTTGAAAACTGCTACTAATTTTCCTTTAACATACAAACTAGTTACAAACAATGCCTCTCTTTTTCTTCTTGATTCCTAATTAGCCGGTTGAGCGTGCAAACGAAATTTTTCGCCAACTCTGTGACGTTCCGTCAATATGATTGGCTAGAATAGGTAATCCATATTCATCAGAATTTGCAAAATTTTCAACAAACCACGCTGTCTGTCGAAGAGTGAAGATGTGTCGTACATTTGTGCTTAAGAAAAGTTAGCCTCTGGAAGAAATAAAACGCTTGACTGATAAAGAAGAGCAACGAAGGCAGTCGTTGCAAAACTAACAAAAGGTGAGCTTTTGTTTTGAAAATATTGCCTTAAAATCCTTCAAAAAGCTGAACGAGTTGCAGCATCTTGGTTACACGAGTCAACACGTGGCAGTTGTATTTGGTCTAAGCGTTTCTTCAGCTGTAGTTCGAGTGAGCAAGGATGTCGGCCTCTGCAAAAGCAGAGCATTTGGTTGTGGAACATTTTGAGAAAAATGTACAATTATCTTTAGGTCCAGCGCTAATGTTATCTAATTTTGATTAAACTGGGTCTTTGATAAAAATTTCAACACTTCTTTACCAAATACCTTCCCTACAAACTCTTGAGTGAATAACCAAAAAAATAAAATGATTCAAAATTTATTTCAAATTTCCCTTGTCACAAGTCCTCATAACTCTTTCACTCGTGAGTGACTAGACTCTAAATTCTCCTTACAGTGTAACGCTTGAATCCAATGTAAATGTTATGAGAATAAAGGAAAAGATCTCTAATTTAAGAACTTCCCGATTGTCCATCAAATTCTCCTTGTTATTACACCAGAGAAAGTAGAGAGGACAGTGTGGAGATTATGTATGTTAATGTTAAGGTGTGAAGAGTTAAGCGGTATTATCTCGTCTTAGAGCTGACTTAAACCACTTAGCTGTCCCTGATCACGTCTATTTTTTCCAGGAAGAGGAATTTTGACAGAGGGATGGAAGGATAAAGGATATAATCAGAAGAACACATTAGAGCCATGGGATTTGAAGAGGATACTACAAAGATAAGAACTTTTTAATTACTACGTAGGACTAGCAAAAATGGTGGCTATCTAGGTATCTCATTTTTGTAAGAAGACGTCCCTATTCATGAATGGGTTGACTTTATCCGTCTTGTCCCTGGGTATGATAAGTGTCGAATAGTAACAATTTATAATTAGCCACCATTTTTTCGGATATATTTGTAAGGGTACGGATTGTTTTGCAGACCACGAGCGACGGTATGAGTTGAACATTATTTTGCTACACACCATAATTTGGTGTTCTCTATCACTGAAAACTTCGTGACGATGCTTTTACAATAGAAGCAGCTGGTAATTAAATTAAAATTGGCTCAAGAACACCGAGATAAAAATTGAAAACTGGAAAAAAAATTGTTGATCTCGTGGGATAGATCGCTCATTTTGGTTGGCGGAACAAGAAGTATCTCGGTTACATCTCAGTTGATGTTGCAAAATGGTGATATTTGTTAAGGTGGCACTGTAACAAAAGACGTCCGACAAAGACCAAATGGAAGTCTCAACTTAAATCTTGAAATCAGTTAGTTTTACTCATTTTATTTTACATCGCATTGTTACACACCATCGATTTAAAAAACCACGTTATTGATTGGGACAGTACAGGGTACTGCAACACTAGCTGTTTTCAACGGCTGAGTGAAGAAAGCTGATTAAATTACAATAACCCAGGACGGACTCTATCACCAATCACCAATTGGTTTCACAAACAGACTTACAGTTACACTCACCGATCACACTGCATATTCGAAAATTTTCAGTCTTTAATAATTTTTTTTTTCATTTTGAAACAACTTTCAGCATTACTTGAGAAATTTTAGGAAAATTGGCTAAATAAAAGCGAAATTGATGTTAATGATATTTCATTCTCGACATCAATGTAGAATTAATTTGCTCGAAAAAGAGCCATTTGCTGTCAAATTCAAAAATAGAAACCAGTACAGTGCCGTCTAAACTCGTATGTCCTAAGCCTTCTGTCCCATCAACTGAGGCCATTTCCAGTTTGCAAGAGGACATTGGCTTTAACTTAGGGGCCATTATTTAAGTAATAGTACAATGTAATTGGGCTTTATTTAGATTTTTTTTCTGTTGTTTGAAACGTATGCACCAATGTTCTCTTGCGACGTTGGAAGCAACATCTTTAAAAATCTGATGCCTGGTCTTGAGTTCTTTAAAATAGAATCGCCAATTCAGAATTTAATGTTACATAAACCAGTAAGGGTGGATTCATTTCACCGGCTAAGAAATGTAGATTTTTGTGATTTGTGATTTCATTTTGTGGTAAATATTTTTTTTCTAAATCGAGGAAAAGGTGAATATCTCTTAGGACGAGCAACGATCTAAACAAGTTCATCTGTTAATGAAAAAATGAATGACACCTTTGAAATGCGATTGTGGCTGTTAATTCATCACGAATAAATCTTTATTTTCATCTCTCTTTATGGAAAAGAATATGCAAAATTCAAAACTCTTGCTGTTATGCTGGCTGACCATTAAAAATCAAATTACTGAGTATGAACAATTCAAGCGCACGCTGCCAGTTGAGAGCATAATTGTGTTTTCTCAAATTTTTTTCAACAAAATTACGAGATGGTGCGTGTTTTGGCAAGATTTCCGCCCTTCATTTTGCATACAGTTTTTGGATAAAGAAAACAATTCACGGCGAAGAAAATAGATTGCCTTAGGGATTTCGGCTTTGTTTTGGAGTAGTATGAGGTTTGTACGGAATATTTTCCGTGTTTAATTTCTCGTGGGCACCCGTGTTAGAATTTCTCCCTAATATTGAGTAGCAAGAGTAAACGAATGTTTTCGATCAAACATAAGCGCGATTCAAATCATCTCTAGCTTCAAATTTTATCACCTGCTAAAATTTCGTACGATATTATACACATTAATAATGAAGAATGAGTAAATTGAATGAGTTTGTGAATTTCTTGCAATCGTGAAAAAGTTTGAAGAAAACCACATCAAGTTTGTGAAGCACGCGAATTCAAAATGCTAGTTAGTATATTCAAATTTCATACTCATAAGTAAAATTTTCTTGTCGTCAAACTCTATAATATCCCAATGTTTGCCCATTTTCTGGTTTATGTACCACATTATCTACTGTTTGAACATTAGTGTTAATTGGTTAAATGTTAAATTTAGGCTATACTCGATACGACTACCTCTTATCAACTATGAACTCAAGACCAGGCATTTGGGTTTAAAACGGAACGTAATTTATCTAGCTATATAATTATTAGGTGGAGGAAAGATCTTTCGTGCTGTTATTCGGTGTAACACAGGAATACATGAAGGAAAGGGGAAATTTTTTTCCAAAATTTTGTGCTTTTGATCTTCAAAAACATCGCAGAACTTGGAGCCTAATTGTGAAATTTCTTAGCCCTCTCAGCTGAAGTAAAATCTCGTTCCATGCTCCAGCACTTAACACATTTTTGAACTAGCGTCGATAATTAAGTAGAATCTCCAAAAGAAATTTAAGCCTGATATAAAATGGCTCGGCTCTCGAAGTTGAAATTTTTTATTTCAATATTTATACTTTAATATTATTTTTCAAATTTCTTTGGGAATTAAGCATTCAGATCCTAATTTCCAAGCTCCAGTGGCTAAAACAGAACCCGTTGAGTATCATATCCC